TTGTGGTTTCTTGTTGTAATTTATATCCTAGTGAAAATAACAGCTAAAACATTTTTTCTTAAAAAACGTTTGATAATTATCTGGAGGTTATAAAGGTTTTGCATGTGAAATCTACAGTTCATGTTAGCTTGTTAATGCTAATTACAAGTTTTATTAATCAGTTCATGTAGAAATTGACTAATGGTAACACTTACTCTATTCGGTTTTTATCTTTACTTTAACAACATAAAAGTCCTACATAAACTAACATTACCTGTTTGGTTCACGAGAAAAACCGAAGGGTTAAGAGTGATTAAAAGCTAAATTGATTCATTCAATTTTAGAGCTAATTAAACAATGTGAAACCAGAACTGGCTCTTCCATTTTTAGATGAAGATTAGTAAAATCTATACACAATAAAAAAAGAATAACAAAAATTGACAACAAAATAAACTTACTTTACTCATAGTTACAGGAATTGTAGAAGATTCTAGCCCATTGAATTTCTGGTAATTATCTACATCATACCACACCTGAAATGTAGTGACATTAATATATATATTTAACCTTCGTTATCCAAGTTGTTACATAGCACGAAAAAGTACACAACTGCAATGACTTTGGTTACAACCTACTTACAGTTACTATAAGTATTAAACAATATATGCATGTAGAACTATCTCACCACATATAAACAGAAATATAGTCAATACTGGTAAATTGTATAATTTTTTTTACATAAGTGATACAACAACTGCATAATCAATATTACTTTTTTTATTACCCACTTAACAAAACCAATGCTTAATGATGATATTTTACACAATAAACACAAAAGGAACAGCTGGTGATATACTTTCCAGGAAAAATACTTATTACTGAAATGGCCTCTTGTATCAGATCCATTGTAACCTTGAGCACAAGCAAGACAAGTGACCATACAAAGCCTCGCACTGATGAGTTAAAAATAGCAAGTAAAATTAAAATGCAGTCATTCTTTTGATTTCTGACAAAAGTGCAATAAAATGTTATGTTTAACTTCTAAAAATAGCAATTAAACACCTAATCTGAGCTTCAATTAAAAAACAACAATCTATTAGTGGACTGTGTGATCTAATTACTCTGCTTCTTGGGAGTCTCATGTTTACTGAAGCCAGCACTCAACAGATCTAAATAAATATTGCTAAGATTATAAAGCCTTGTTGAATAATTTTATTTCATTTGGTTTTCTATTTTACATCCTTTGGTTTAATACATACATTGATTTGTGTATTATGCTGTTTTAAAGCCATATCCCCATTACAATACACACATCTAACAATTTTGTTATAACCAAATCAAGTTAAATATTTTCTAAAGTCTATGTTAAAGGTGTCAGAAAAGTTCTTGTAACATATGTACAGAATATTTAGCTAAATTAATTTCTTTGCATAAGAATGTCATTAAACTTGCATCATTTGGATGAACATTTGATAAAGATACTTTATCTTCTTTCAAATAAAATAAAAAAATTATAGGTTTGCGTTACCTAATTTTCAAACTGAATTATAATGAACATATAAATTAAATTCTAAAATTTTTTTATGTCTTTAAATTGACTTCAATAAAAACTAAAAGCATAAAAAGGGAATAAAAAACGTCTGTGAAATAACTTGCCCAAGAATTCTAATTTTTTCTATGTGTAGTTTAAACTTGTGAAGAATTGATCTTCAAGTAACAATATCTAACTCCATCCTAAGATTTTAGTATTCAGTTTGTACTGACTACCCAAACAAACCTATTAACCCTTTCCAGATGGGTCAT